TGAATATTTAAAACATAAAGAGAGTTTAAAAGCAATAATTAAAAAACCCAGAACAGCTGCACTGTATCAGCTGTTCGAATTTTACATTTGGGTTATGACCCAGGATTTGGCATTTCTGAATATTTTTATATTAAGCTATCAAAATAATCAAGTGTTACTTTAGGCACCTGATGTTGATGATAACTGATTTATATATTTTCTTTCTTAAAACCTTGTGAACTTGATAACTTGAGAAACATGTCACCGAGGATTTTCAAATTAACACTTTATGTGCAGCTACGACATTCAATACATTCAAAGTGTTGGTGAATGTTACAAGTTACTTTTCTCAGTGTGGGGTTAAAAAAAATGCTGCAGGTCACTGAAAAGTCTTTTTTAATGAGCATGAATTCTTAGAAAAATTTGTATTTTTGTTCTTAAAATATTTTTTTGTTTACTTTCTGTTTGCAATTACAGTGAAGTACAGTATAATGTTTTACATGTTTATCTTCAGTTTGTGTATTTGCATGTTAACATTTGCTAATAAGCATCAAATAAAGCTAAGGCTTAATATCATTGAGTATATAGCCATAGCCAATTAGTCATGAAAATCCACCGCGAACAGCCTTTATTGCAAATCCACTCATTGTTAAGATATGTTGTTCTCAAAGCCAACTAACCCAACCTGTTTCCCTTTTAAACAGTGGAAGTCTTTGAGAAGCAATAGGCAGTGACACATCACATAAGCAGCTTGACACCAGCCCATGTGCCTGGCTGTCGTCCAGCACGTGAAGTTCTTCACGTTCAGTTCTACACTGATGTGTAGAGGGTGGAGTCAGTTCAGGGTGGATTTGTTTTGGTTACAATATAAAAACACCTGTCATCACTGCCTTAGCTCGGTAATTTCTGTATTTAACAGCTTCCTGTTAGAAGGCATGCAGCCATTGAATAAACAACCTTGTGTTCGGCTTCATATAACGTTAGAAAAGTTTATCTGGATTTAGTGTAAGTAGCAAATACATTTCATGCTCGTCAGCAAACATGGAAGTTGGTCCTGATGGCGTTACAAATTCTCACAAGCTCGGGCATTTTTAGCATATCTGCTTGTGAGAACAGCTTGCATCGACACAACCTGTTCTCCTCGATCTCTGTGTCGTACATTGTGTGAGGGCAGTACACGGTGACATCTCTGTTAGGTGTGGTCACTTCACCCTCGCAGTGACACAGGGTGTGGTCAGATGTGAGCTAAACGTTGCCTCAGGCTGGAGCTGTTTGTGGTATATATTTAGCACCTTGTTAGTGGTTAAGAAAGTGCATCTGTGTCTTTCACAGTCTTCGTTGCCACCCTTCTTTTTCATCTCCTCGACACCCTTTATGATCAATTATGAAAGACACAGCAGATCTTCACACTTGTGAGCGTTCCCTGTGTTTTCTTTCCCTTCTACACACATGCTCCTACTTCTGTCAGACTTAAGGAGATTTTCTTTAAAAAATATTTCATGTTGCTAATTCCCTCAGAAAAATCCTTTCCAATTAGTGAAGTGTAGTCACTGCTCACCGTGTCACAACTGAGTCTTACATTTGGTGACAGAAAGAACTTAGCAGCTGGCCTGCTACTGTGGGTTTCCTTTTTTCTTCATTTTTTCACCCCTTTCCTTTCACAGCTGAATTCACGACACCACTAAAGACAGGGCGGTTGAGGTCTGTGAGCACAAAACACTTTCAGTAAAAGGACCGTACAGTCCCTTGCCACATTCTCTGCACACTGCACTGTATAATTAAAATCACCATGCCCCTGCTGTCTGTGGACATAAAATGAAAATATAGCACAAATACAAAAATCACAATACACTTCTTGCCATTCCAACTGAGTGGACCGCACAATCGAAAAATGAAGTCGTGAGGCAAGAGAAGCCTTTTGAGGCATAATGCACCGCAGAGGCTGAAAAGCTTACACATCAGTGCTTTCAAAAGATTTGCGTGAAAAGAATTGGAAAACACATGCTTGTTTGTGTTCCAGCAGGAAAATGGATGTTAAAAATTTATACCTTTTAAAATAGATTTCCCGTGTCATGTGGTTTGACATTATCAGAACGCCGCACAGGATGTTGGGTGTGCCAACAGCTCACACAAGACCAAAATGAATAAATAAATACATTTTAAAAACAGATGTGCTCTTCTTAATTCAATTCAATTCAATTTTATTTATATAGCGCCAAATCACAACAAAAGTCGCCTCAAGGCGCTTCATAGATACAGAGAAAAACCCAACAATCATATGACCCCCTATGAGCAGCACTTTGGCGACAGTGGGAAGGAAAAACTCCCTTTTAACAGGAAGAAACCTCCGGCAGAACCAGGCTCAGGGAGGGGCGGGGCCATCTGCTGCGACCAGTTGGGGTGAGAGAAGGAAGACAGGATAAAAGACATGCTGTGTCTTATCAGATATTGCCAGCCTAACATGTCGGACTTTCACAAGACCTCTACACATGAGAAATGCCCATGATGTATGACTGATGAAATATATAACCGTTTTATACTCACAATGAGTCCATCATACAATTGGAACATGCTGTTTGTCTGAGGATCCAAATAACAGCAATGTTTCATTGGCGTACATCTGCTTGTTTTAACATTGTGAGTTGGAAAAAAGTCGTTTAAATTACACTAAATGTATTTTTTCTTATACCCACATAATTCAAGGATCAAGAAAACCTTGCTTATAGTTCACTTTAGTGCTGTAGACTCTTCACCTTACAGTATATACATTCAACGGCATAAATGTTTGTTAGGAATAACTGTTCAAATGCTTGTTACACAAATGAGCCAATCCATTGGCAGCAACTTGGTGTATTTCTTTCAGAAACAGCTCATTTTCTGTGACTTTTCCTCACACAGCCATTCCTGTGTTTACAGAGAATGGTCCAAACAAACAAAAAGAGAAAAATATCTAACAACCACTTGTTACAACCCAGCCATGGTTTGCAGAAGACCATCTAGGAATGAATAACACATCAAACTTTGAAGCAGATTGGCTGCAGCAGCAGAGGACCACACATGGTGCCACTGCTGTTAGCTAAGAACAGGAAACCGAAGCTTCGATTCACACTGGCTCACCACAATTGGACAATAGAAGACTAGAAAAAGTAGTATAGTTAGTCAGTCATATAACTATAATCATATACTTAGGGCTGGATCAGGTGTCCCTGAATCCTCCCTTATGCTGGGCTTACACTGTGCAATTTTTCAGTCATGCGACCGTTTTGGTGATCGGCCCACGTTTTGCCTTCATCGTGTGTCGTGCATCGTGTAGTATACGTGGGATAACGAGAAGCGATTAACACCTCACGACCAGCTCCCGATCATCAATCTTGGTCGTAAGAAAATAAAACCTGTTTCAAGTCCTGTTTGCCGTCATGAGGGTGTCACCGCAGCCTCTCAGACTGCACACACAAACACAGAAAAGAAAGTGAAGAGACGGAGCAGCACGGCAGTGCAGCGTGCGATCTGGACACAAGCGATGGAGGCGCAACTTGTAGAACTTTGGCAAGCTCATCTGAGCCTTTTCGATGTGGCCTCACAAAATTATCACGACCACAACAACCGTGAAAATAATTGGATGGACATTGCTGCTCAATCACAGCTGCCTGTTTTTCATTAGCAATTTTGCAAAGTTGATGGTGGTG